CCCTATATATAATTTACATAACTTTAAACAAAAATAATATAATTAATATAATTAAATATAAACCTTCTAAAAATTTACTTATCGATGTAATCGAACTGAGTTATTAAACGCTTGTTAGTTTTTTGTTCTTATTAATTTTATGTGTAAATTTGAGGTGACAATAGTCATTTGTACATTTATACATGTAGATTAGAAAAAAAATCTTTATTATTCTAATTTTAAATAACTTTTTTATTTACTATATTAGTTTTCTTAATATAATATATAAGTATCATATTGAACAGATAAAACAAGAAATATTTTAATTATATAATAATTAATATGTAAGAATTATAACTCAATTGGTAAATTAATAGGTAATCTTGGAATAAAATAACGAGTGATTTATGAAAAAAAAAATTATAGTAACTAAAAAGTTCACGTGTTTAATATATTTTTCACAGAAAAATTGTAAACACAATTACTCAATAAATACTACATTAAAAATATAAGAAATCTTATATCCCTATATATAATTCAAAAAAACATAACTTTTCTCAATTCAACATAAGCAAATCAATGAAAATAATATATTTTTAAAAATTTTATGAACAAAAGTTGACTCGACAATATTATTAATGAATTTATGAATTGTAAATATTTAATTAAAATATTAATAAAAAATGTAATTAAAAAAATATAATATAGGATATAAAAATATTTGATATATAATGAGACAGATGATCGAAAAAATTTTATTCTTTATATTATGTCTTTTTTGACAAATCTACAGTTAAGAACATGTGAAATAACAAGATAAAGTTTTAAAAAAATATTAAATATAAGAAATAATATGAAAAATAACTAAGTTGTGACACGTACTAATAAATATAAAACAAACTAATAAACAAAAATAATATAATTAATATAACTAAATATAAACCTTCTAAAATAACTTACCGATTTAATCGAACTGAATTGTTAAACGCTTGTTAGTTTTTTTTTCTTATTAATTTTATGTGTAAATTTGAGGTGATAGACAATAGTTATTTGTACATTTATACATGTAGATTTGAAGAAAAACAATCTTTATTATTCTAATTTTAAATAACTTTTTTATTTACTATAATAGTTTTCTTAATATAATATATAAGTATCATATTGATCAGATAAAACAAGAAATATTTTAATTATATAATATTTAATATGTAAAAAATGTAACTCAATTGGTAAATTAATAGGTAATCTTGGGATAAAATAATGAGTGATTTATGAAAGAAAAAATTTATAGGAACTAAAAAGTTCACGCTTTTAAAATATTTTTAATAGAAAAATTGTAAACACAATTACTCAATAAATACTACATGAAAAATATAAGAAATCTTATATCCTCCATATATGTAATTAAAAAAACATAACTTTTCTCAATTCAACATAAGCAAATGAATGAAAATAATATATTTTTAAAAATTTTATGAATAAAAGTTGACTCGACAATATTATTAATGAATTTATAAATTGTAAATATTTAATTAAAATATTAATAAAAAAATTTAATTATATATAATAGAATATAGAATATACAAATATTTGATATATAATGAGACAGATGATCGAAAAAATTCTATTCTTTATATTATATCTTTTTTGACAAATCTA